AGGGAAGAGGAAGGGAAACAAGGAGAGCGAGGAGGTGAGTATAAGGGGAGATACTGGGCAATGAAACTCACCAAATTTTATATATATACATAATACATATATATATATGAATATATGTATGTACGTATGAATATGCCACAATGAAACCAACTACTTTGTATAATTACTATACTTACTATATTATAATCACTAGACCAATAAAATATTAAAATATAGTATAAAATATTACTTTAAAATAATTTTTCAAAAGTAGAGAAGCTTAAAGCAGAAGCATCTGTAAAGAGAACTATATCATAGTAATAAGAATCCAGAGATAGAAACATGACAACAGATATGAGCTGCAGATGGGTGCAGAAGAAGCCTAACTTCAGACTCTCTGACCACAAGGCTACAGGACAAYAGTGCACATTATCCAAAGGGAATGTTCAAGAAAATTACTAACATCTTATGTCATGAATGGGAGAGATGTATTACTTACCCGGTTGATATGGTTGTTCCCTAAAATAACCTGTAGTAGTGTTTTCTCAAATTCTTCCAACTTCTTGTAACACTTTTTAAGAATATAATTAGATAAGTTATAATCACTGGTCAGTTTAGCTAAAGTACCAACAGCTTCTGTCCAAAAGCTTGAAAAGGGAAGTTTGGGATTACGATAAAAAGCAATCAGGCCATCCAGCAACTGACAAACAGAATCAGAGACTATGGAAAAGTCTTTTTCAAAGTGGGTTAAATCTGTTTTCAGACTACCTGATTCTGTCAAGTTCTTTAGTCTAAGCAGATGCTGTAAGAACTGCATGTGAGAAAACAAAGGATTTTCTGGGGCGGCACCAGGTCTTTTCACCAGAGGCAGTAGTGGAAAAAGTGGGGGTGTGCAGCTCTCCACAAAATGTGGGGATAGCTCCAAAGACTCAGTTCTCTGTTCACTTGATAAATCACACCCAGAATCTTCCATCGGAGTTAATGTACTTTCAGAACTTCCATGTTCCTGAGCCGGCAACAGGGAAGATAAGTTCCCTAAAACAGAAAGGAATAGGAGAGTTATCTCCTTATAACTAAAATTTCTTCATATAAAAACTAGACACTGATTTTTCTAACTTAAAATACTAAATGAAATATATAAATACATATTAAACGTTTAACAAATAGTAGTATAAAAAATGAGTAGAGGGAAACCTGTAACAGAAATTGCTCAGGCTGACTGCAGAAAAGGTCTCTTCTTCACAACTGAAAAGCAATGGTGATTTGCCTTGTGTTCCAGTTACTAGCTCTCATTTAACTACATGCCATGCTCAAAAGATATAATAGAGGGGGGAAAGGCTGTAAGAACCAAAGGGGATCACAGTGTGGTACAGATTCCAATAGGTGATCACAAAGTAATAGGTGTATCCAAACACCGAAATTTGCTTAGAATATTGAGAAGTTAGGAGCATTAGAAAGCCCTGCCTAGTTTGATCTGTGTATCCTGGAATTAGTGATGCTAGAACTAAATATAACATAAAGCAGAGTATAAATTCAAAATAAAAGTTAGGAAAATGAAAAATACAAAAGAATTCCATAACCAAAGGTAAGTACAAAAAAACAGATTTAACAAAGGAAAACATGGTATTGTATACAGTGTTTATATCAGGACTCCTACATATTTTGATGTTACTTCTACAGAAAGTACAACATTAAGATATAGAAATATGTAGAGGCCAAAAMACATAAGATCATTTATGACATATTAAGAACCTTAGAATTTATCCTGTAGGGTATAGAGTAAATTTTAAACTTGAATTGTGTAAGATTCCTTTGGAAAATTTATACACATACACATATACACACATCCAAATTTAAAAAAATACCAATAATATCTATATCTATATATGTGTGTATATATGCAGTTAAAACTAAGCACAATAAATTTAGGTCATTCTTAAAGAGACAAACCATCATAAAYACAAATTATGTAAAAAGGTATTGGTTATAATTTTAAGTGATTATCAGTAACATGTACAAACTCAACTGAAACCAACTGAAAATTCTCATTGAACATTCTAAAGCATTGCTCAAGTTGGAAGAAACTTGAACAATCATAGATGAAAAAGAAAAAAATAATGAAGAGTGAGAGGTTGGAGATATGAGGGAAAATAAAAATGGCAGGTGAGATATGGGCTGGAGAAGGTGGAGACAAGCCAAGGGCTCCAGTGAATGGGATGGGCTCAATAATTTGGAAGTATATTTTTTCGTCTGAGGCTGAAAAAGAATGGTGAAAATGTACATGGATTGGAAAGCTACCTGGAATTCAGGAAGTTAAAGAAGATCTTACCTAGTAGCCATAGTTCCCTGAAGCAGGAGACAGGTAGACAATAGTTTAACAGGGAAGAAAAAGAAGAAGAAGAAAAATGGCATCATCTACCTTCTACACCATATATTTGTAAATCTATCTAAATTGTTACTCTTTGTCCTTCAATAAAATCAGCAGCAGATGGGATAATAATAGAATTCAATCGCTTAATAGGTACCTACTATAATCACTACAAATGTGCAGATATGTGCTTGCTGATCATCACTACAATATCTATATTCCAAGCTTAGGGAGCTAATACAGAGAGTTCAAACATGTGATGATATCCAGAACAATGATCTATTGGAAAGTGTTTAAATGCATGTGGGTATACTAAAAGAGCCAGACAGTCTGATCATTTTAAGCAAATAAGGATAAACACTTGAAATGACTTCTCAAGACATACATTAAAAACAAAGGGGCAGTGGGGCAATAGTAATTATTCAGGTGAATTATACTTCTTTCATGAGAGCCAAATAGCTCTCCAAAGAGAAAATGAACAATTTTATTAACCTATTCTAATTTCCATCAAGATAAGCTGAATTTCAAAGGTGATGATTTCAAGGAAGACTCATAAAATTAATTCTACCAATTAATAGGCAAGAAGCTGTTTTGTGGTTTCTGCTTTTCATTCCTCACGGGCTAGCCAAAACCACTCCATTTCATATCCTTCATGTAAGCCAGGTACAAATTTGAAGGGAGTAGTTCAACCCATGTGTGTGCAATGGGGACAGGAATACACCAAACTGAACATTCTTCTTCTTGGCTGCTTGATCATTTCCATAATCTCAAAAAAAAAAAGTGTCATGAGGGCATATGTTGGAGATGAAAAACATACTGAGAGCAATCTTCCCTCAGTGTCCTAAATAAATGCATCAACTCCACAAAAGATGATCACACTGAAGTTTTACCTAATACATATTGAAGTCAAAATATCAAATTAAATGAAATAATCTTATGTTCATTATTTCATTTTACAAAGCAGTTTCATAAAACAGTTCAATTGATGGTCACAACAAACTTGGAAGATGTTTTTTCAATTCCTGACTTACTGAAAAGGAAACATAGGTTAAGAGACCTGAGAAAAGCCACATGGTGAGTAGGTAAAACCAAAATCATCAGTTCAAGTCCAACCACCTTTGAACCATGGAAAAGATACCCTATGTGCTTCTATACCATCTCAGTACATTTCCACTGARGTGTTTAATTATTTCTATGTGTTATCTACTTGTTTATGAGCTCCTGGGGCCTAAGTTATGTCTCTTGTCATCCTTGTGGTCCTTTCACCCACCAATTTTACTGACTGTAGAAGAAACCCTATCAAGAGAAATGCCTATTATTATAACTTGCTGTTGGTTGTAACAGATTTTCTGTCATGCTGAATATTTATTATGAACCAAGATCAAGTTCTTTGCAACTTACACCAAACCACAGCGATCACTTCTTTCATGAGAGACAAACAGCTCTCCAAAGAGAAAGTGATAGCTTAGAGAGATTAGATAAACAGGTAGGTAGATGAGAAAAGAATATGACTATTATAATATTTAAAATATTTCACAAAAATAGCTAACAAAAAGCCAATAACATGTTTTGTTTCATGACATCAATTACCTCTTGTAACCAATAACCAATTTACTTCTTCTATGTGTTCTCAATGTGGATGAATGATGGCTACAAACAGTATTTACATTAGAAACTAAAGCATGCRTATTGTAAATCACTCAGTAATAGTGGGCAAATGTAACTATAGTATATAATATTTTACAACATGAAAAAGAGAAATAGTTTTCTTAGTAGAAAACATTTTCAGTGATACTATTAACGGTTACAATCTCTGACAATAGTCATAAATAAGATACTTATTCATAAAGACAAAATTTAAAATGTCCACCTTATTTAAGTAATCCTTGGCATGGAAACAGACAATACACCTCAGTCCCTTGAGTTTTTCATTCTACTCATTTGCTTCAGTTTGTATTTTCAACACCTATCTCAAAGCATGACTAACAAAGCTTCATAAYCAAGGACAAAAAAGAAAATGAAGCTATGTGTTTGTCTGTAATTCCTATTTTTTTCTAAGAGGGACTCAGATGTAACAGAAGTCAAATRAGCCTTTTCTCTTAACTTATTATTGAGCTGAAGTGCTTGAGAGATRCAACAGCTTCCAACTTAGTGCGTATGACCTACCTATCTGCCACTAGATTTAATAAGACACAGCACGCACACACACAGATCAAGCAGTCTGACATACATTAAGTTCTCAATAAATATCATCTATTACTAAATAATTATAGAGATCATAAATCTACATTAAATTATGAAATCTTATGCAAATACATGAAATAAGTTATTATTTAAAAGCTGTAACAAACAAAACTTGCAGATGCTGTCTACAACTGTCAATGTCCCTCTCACATACTGGATACCCTAGACTTTCTATTTCCTTTTCCTAAATCCTTAACTCTCCCATTTTCTTTCAGTTTTTAAATTTTCTCCTAAACCCATTTACCATTTCAGAGTAGATCTCAAATACACTCAAACAATAGAGTTGRTGCCTGTTATGGTTTAGATATTAGGAGTCACCCAAAAGCTCATGTATGAAAACAATGCAAGAAGGTTTAGAGGTGAAATGATTGGGTTGTGAGAGTCTTAACCCAATTAGTGAATTAATCCCCTGACAGAGATTAACTGTGTGGTAACTAAAGGCTGGTAGGGTATGGCTGGAAGGGATGGGACATTGAGAGCATGACTTTGGGATATAAATTTTGTATATGGTGAATGTTGTCTCCTCTTAACCCTGCTTTGTGGTGACCTTGTCTACCTCAGCTTTCCTCTACCACACTCTTCCTCCATGATGTTCTGCCTCACCTCAGGCCCAAAGGAATGAAGGAGGCTGTCTGTGGACTAAGACCTCTGAAACTGTGACCCCCCCCCCCAAAAAAAATAAACTTTTCCTCCTCTAATTGATCTTGTCAGGTCTTTTTGTTGCAGTAATGAAAAAGCTGACCATGCCCTCTTATCACACACCCTATCYTAAAAATGCCCAACCCTGAATCAACAGCAAATATATTTTTTGCTGCCCTCAAAAATACTTGCAGCCACATCAATTCTTGATGTCTTTTCTCATGTCTATAGTCCCTACCTCACCCATAAAAATAAACCTACAGATCTAAGTGTATTCCTTGCAAGTCCCATTAACTTTATGAAAGTGAACAAATCATCTTCATGCATTGTACACACAAATACACAATTCATGTTTGTCCCACATATGGCCTATTCAGCTATTATCATAACTATCTCTCCTGTTAGCAGTCCAGGATGATGGATTATCTTTGGCCTCTTTCTCCCTTCTATAGTCCACATACAACATGTTACAATGATTATACATTCTACACACATATTAGTCATGATTCTCCCCAAAAGCAGAAACAGAGAAATCCTAAGACCTGCAAAGGCAAGATGGAGACCCAGGAATACCAGTGCTATAAATTCCAGTCCAAAAACCAGTAGGCTTAAGACCAAAGAAGAACCAATATTTCTACTGAATGCGAAGACAGGAGAAGACCCACATCTTACTTCAAGGAAGGAAGAAGCAGTTGCCCCATACTTGAAGAAGACTTAGCATTTTGTTCTATTCAGGCCTTCAATGATTAGATGAG